GCTATCTCATAGGAAGCCTTGCAGATTCCATCTTGATATCATGGAACATATGCTCTGAAGGAAGCCAATCACCAAGTTAAAAAGTCCAACTATACTGGGACTGCCATGCTGTAAGGAAGCCCAAGCTAGCCATGTGGGGGGCCATGCAGAGAGACTAAAATGCTCAGATAGCCCCCAGCTGTTCCAGCCATCTCAGCTGAAGCATCAGATATGAGAGCGCACATCCAGTTCAGAAGAGCATTCAAATAATTGCCGTTGGGGGAATTGCCCCCCCCAACCTTGGGGGCCCTCTGACTGCATCTGCATGAGAGCCCCCAAATGAGAACTATCCAGCTGAGCCCCATCCATCCACTGTACCGTAAGAGACAATAATACATCATTGTTTTAAGCCACCAAGATTTGAGGTGGTTAGTTTCGCAGCAATAGGTAACTGCAAAATGCAGCCACCAAAGGTAGTTCTAGATTCAAACATTTCTTTCCCACAAATACTACATATGTCTAAGGATCCTTGGGCTTTGCCCCCCTCACGCACACCCTCCTCTAAGGCACACGTCTCTGCCATTAATAAGCTTTGTTTTCACTGTTCACTTTCCTACTACCCTTTATAAGCACCCACTGGGAGTCAGAAAAGCTGGGTCTTCATCCTCATGGGAACACTGTAATTTTGGCCAAGTCGCTAAACTCTCTGAAGCTTGGGCTCAGAAAAATGATGGCAGGGATTCGATATTTTAATTCGGTTGGATGTGTGGCAGACAACCCCTTCCCTCAAACTGAAACTAATACAGAACAGAAATAAATGAGAGAGATACAAGTGGAAGAGTTCTGACTGAAGCAGGACAGGCTGTATATTGGAGTAGTGGTTAGAGGTGGGGACTGAAGTCAGAAGACCTAAGCTCAAATGCTGGCCCATCCCCTCACCAGTCACCCCAGAATCTGGTGTGAAAACCACTATCCTGGCTGGTCTCAGAGGCCTCCCCACTTCCCATTGTTGTGATCTGTAACATTTACCACACAGAAAATAGACATCTATTTTAAAACTTCAGTGTAGATTTTAATTTATTGTTTATATGGTGTCATTTATTTTAATTTAAAAACAGAGTATTGACCTGGAAGAGTTTTTTATTGCTTCTGCTTTCTCACAAAATCAGATTTATACTAGTTTTTCCCAACTACCATCTGCCCCTAGAGCAGTAAGCCCTTACGATCTTGCCTCTTCCTCTCAACACAGGTGCTAAACTTAGTTCTTGCTTCATCCCTAGAGAGAGAAATAGAGTATTTCAAATTTCCCCATCTGCAGTATAACTTGGCTTGGGAAATACTGATTTAAAACCATTCTATTTGATTTTTTAAGATTTTATTTTCAAAGGCCTCTGTAGTAGGAGATATAGTAGGAGATAGCCTACTAGAGTTTCCCATTCCAATGTTTAATGGCTGTATTCATTTGGAAATTTTCCCTCATATTTGACAGAAATCACTCAATAAAGTTCCCCTGCATATAATGCTTCTCAACTTTCATTTCTACAACTTTTAAAAAATGTCTTATAATTAAGTTCTTCAGTGTCACCGTACAGCTCTCTTCTTTTTTTTAAATTTTTAAAAATTTATTTATTTATTTTTGGCTGTATTGCATCATCGTCGTTAGGTATTCGTTGCTGCTTGCGGGCTTTGTCTAATTGCAGCGAGCAGGGACTACTCTTCGTTGCAGCGTGCGGGCTTCTCATTGCAGTGGCTTCTCTTGTTGCTGAGCTTGGGCTCTAGGTGCATGGGCTTCAGTAGTTGTGGCTTGCAGGCTCTAGAGCTCAGGCTCAGTAGTTGTGGCACATGGGCTTAGTTGCTCTGCGGCATGCGGGATCTTCCTGGACCAGGGCTCGAACCCGTGTCCCCTACACTGGCAGGTGGATTCTTAACCACTGGGTCACCAGGGAAGTTCCATGTATAGCTCTCTTCTGAACTCTCTCACTTTTCCCCCATTTTCTCCTCTGCATAGTAACCTTAAATTGAAAACAGGAATGGTCTGAAGAGTGTTCCTGGATTCTATGACTTATGATGTATATTAAATATTTTGTGTAGTTAACTTATTACAGCACTTCCAGGTTTCATCTTGGTAAGAGCATCAACATTTTCTAAAACATATGTCATCAGACAATATACATAAAATTACAGGCATGTAATGACACTTTACATGTACTTATATTGGCTAATAAACATATACCCCGCCCTGTGTTATAAATTAGGTAACTTCTTGACCATACATTGCAACCAAATAGCCACTCAAATCTCCAAACTCATATCTGAACTCTGCCCCAAAACTATGGACAGATGCACAGTGTTTCTGATCAATGTTAAAAAGAGATCGCAATCTGATCAATATTGTTGACTGAAGAAAAACTACACAACCTAAGTTTCAAGTTGAGTTTTATTCGAGGATCTTACTGAGGACTATGGTCCAGGAGACAGTCTCTCAGATAACAATGAGGAACTGCTCCAAAGAGATAACAGAAGAGCCAGGATATATACAAGTTTTTTTGCTGGGAAAAAAACCCCCAAAACAACATGTAGTCGAACATCAAAAGATTACTGCTAATCACAAACAGATATCTCAAGTTAATGATTTTAGTGTTTTTCTATGTATGGGGAGTTACAAGATTCGGGGTTTACTGAAATTATTCCTTAGATACACATCTTAACTATCTAGTATCTAGGGCCAGTATCCAAAGCACAGATAGCTTCCTGGTTTTCTCCATCCTGAATTCCCCATAGAGCACACCGTAAGTGGGTACCTGCAGTGGCTAATGGCTTGATCCTTACAGAACAGGGATGGCAGGCAACATACTTTGTTTACTGGAATGTCAGGCAACATTCTCTGTTCACAGTACTCTAAGCTGTTGGATAGAAGCCCCTACCTCCTGAAAGGTTGTGGGTTAGGCATTTTCTACTAGAACTGCTTCGATAACTGGAAGAAGCATTGGCTAGAACTTTGATGTCAGAAACAAGAAATTATGTTCCCAGAGGCTTGGAGGAAGAAAAATAGAGGGTAGGATTTTTTATTGGTGCCAAATCAAAGAGTCCCCCAACATGTATTTTAGACATAATCTTATGTCTCTATTTTATCGCATGACAATGAAGTTTCCCTATCATTTTACTGCTGCTGCCTTTTAAATACTGCATTCCATTTTACTGTAGAATAGCCCAAAGAATAAACAAATTAGGAAGCTGTTTGACAATGTCTTTTAAACTCAAGCAAAGGCCACTAAGTAAAATAACGTTGTGTACTAGCTCCTTTCTAGTTCCTCCCCACTAGGAAAGGGCTATTGACTACTTCACAGGCTCCGGACGCGCAGGCCCAGCGGCCATGCTCACGGGCCCAGCCGTTCCACGGCACGCGGGATCCTCCCAGATCGGGGCACGAACCCGTGTCCCCCGCATCGGCAGGCGGACTCTCAACCACTGCGCCACCAGGGAAGCCCTGTAATTATTCTTAAATCTAAAATTAATTTTAGAAGAAAATCCGAAGGCAGCCCCGGAGCGTAATGTTAGTAATTTTATCCCAGCCATAAAGTTAGGCCTCCAACAATAAGGTTTTATATTAGTTATTCTTTAGTCTCAACTACTCTGTAGCAAATTACAAATCTACCAACACATACGTTATTTGCTATTGCAGGGGAGCAAAGCTGGCCACCCCAAAATGCATCCCTTTGGCATGCAGATTATTTCAAGCTAAAAAGAAGCAAGGCCCAAAAGATTGGGGAAGAATCTTTGAACTTTCTCCTAACTGCCTAAAAAAATTTAGATAGAAGACCTGTTCCAGGAAGGGAGCTGTCACCGTAGATTACTACAGTATAATATGAACTAGGTGTGTAGACAGGGAGGAACCTAGCAAAGTCTGCTTGTTGAAATTCCTCTCTGTGTTCCATTGTTTCTGTATGACGCAGCAAACAGTTTTTGCCACCCATTTGCTCATTTTCATCTTCCTGTGAATTGCCTTCTTTCCCTCAAACAATGGAGCCATCCACAACTGTGCACCCTGAGGGGATTCAGGATGGAAAAAAGCAGGACACTGGCCCCAGACAGTTAAGGTGCATATCAAAGGAATGATTTCAATAAGCCCAGACTCTTGCATCTCCCCATACATAGAAGAGTGCTAAATTCATTAACTTGAGATGTCTGGTTTTTCTTTAATTAACAGTAATCTTTTGACTACCCCGTTTTTGTTGCCAAAACTCGTATATGTCCTGGCTCCTCTCTTACCTCTTCCAGGCAATCCCTCAGAGCTCTCCAAAAGGCTGTCTTCTGGACTTAAGTACTCAGCAAGTCCGCCAAATAAAACATAATTCTCAACTTTTAGGTTGTGCAATTTTGTTTTTTTTTTTCAGTCAACGCTATGAAGTCCCAAACCCCTGCCCCATTCTCTTCTCTCAGGTGGCACATAAGCCTCGATTGCCTAACTTGTCCTTGGGCCTCATTTTCTTAGGGAGCCCCCTGGACGCAGATAATTAAATTTGATTTTCTCCTATTAATCTATCTCACGTCAAGTTAACCCTTAGACCAGCCAGAAGAATCTAGAAGGGCAGAGGGAAGTTTCTTCTCCTTCCCCACTCTACTAAATGGGTGTTTAGAATAATGGCTAGAACATGGCAGGTCTCAAAGTTCCTTAAATGAGTCCGTGGATGCTTCTAACACAAAACGTGACAGAACCAGCAAGGCGGGAAGAAGTGGCTTCATTTTATTGGTTGGGCGCGTAGTAAGCAAGTTGCTGGTGAGGTTTTGATGGCTGCTTCTCCACGCTCCCCTCCGCCCCTACCAACCAGGAAGGGTCAACCAGGAACTACCTCTTATTGCCTCAGTCACTGAACCGACGTATTGTTTAAGCTCTGACAGGCAGTCCTCAAAGAGACTACACCCTGCTTGAATAATTTAGGCTGGGGCACAGGCCAGACCACAAAGCGCATCTGTGCGAGAGAGAGCCTCACTCAGTCCTGTCGTTTCCAGCATCTACAGCCGGCCGCCCATTTTTCATACACCATATTTACAGTCGGGGTAGAAAAAAAAGCCCAGTTTACCAGGAGGCTACTTATACGGCGCCGGGTTAGGCATATGTTTCACCTGCTTGGCCAATTAGCTTCTTCTGCCCGCAAGACTAGTTCAACAGGTTTCCTTTTTCTCTTCCTCCGCCTCCTGGGTTGGAGAAAGAGGTTGTCACTTCGCTTCGACCCTCCCCTTCCCTCCCTCCCAGCTCTGCCCCGCCAGCTCGGACCAATCGCGCCGGCTCGAACGTGTCCAGGTTGGCGGCCCCCGGCAGGGCCGGCCCGGATGCGCCGAGCGGCCCAGGGCGCAAGGGAGGGCGCGGCGGGTTCGCTGGGCCTGCGCCCCGGACGGTGGGAGTCGGGGAAGCGGGAGGAGGAGACTGTCTGAAGGTGCCCTCCAGACGCGGCCCTGATGACTGAACTACAGCAAGATGTGGACGACACAAAGCCTGCCAAAGTGCTCGGGAAGAGAGAGAGCAAAATTGGCTCAGCCCAGTAAGTACCCTCCGCTGGATCCCAGCCGCGGCGGTAGAACGCGCGCTGCCCGAACTTCTCTGCCAGGGAAGAGTTGGGAATGGGAACGGTTTTCTGGAACTTTTAACGTGGACAGAATTGTGGCTTGAACTCTTCCTGTGGCGCCCGGTCTCTTTTTTGCCCCCGATTCTGTAGTAGAGAAAAGGCACGGCAGCGTTTCAGAAACGCACTGCAGCTTGCAGTCCGGTGGGGATGGGAATTATTTGAGCCGAGAGCACGACCGGTGTTTTATAAATCCCAAGGGAGGTCTGGGGCGACTCTTCAGAGCTCCAAGCCACATCAAGAAGCAGCGCTTAACATTTATTCTAACTGTCTTACATCTTAATGACTTGTGTGAAGATGCAGCTGTCCCGTAGATGTCGTCTGGTCACTAGCTTCACAAAGATGCGTATTTTGTCGTTCGATTCGGAGCGTGAGGGTGTTTTTTTCCCTCCATCCCCTTCACTGTTTCCCCTCACGAGAGAGGAAAAGTAGTGGAAAATATGAAATACGCTTTATCTTTCTCCCTCAAAGACTGCCTGCCTTTGTTGAGTACTTAACACAAACTTGTTATACGCTTTTTTTTTTTTGAGGGAGGGTGTGGGAGTGGGGTGAGGGAGCATAGTGAACATAAAACATCAGATATTGGGTTGTGACTATCCTCCCAAAAGATTCACGTGCGTAATAGGATTTGCACATTGTTTGACCTATAAACTCTTCTGGTTTAAGAAGCTGAAAACTCAAATATTTGATCACAAGGATTAGCTTCCTGTAATGAAATTTATTTATCTTACGTACTTTTTAAAATCCAGAAGTATGGTTATTTATGTGATTGTTATTCCCAAACTTTTCTTTTAAAAAAGAAAAGAATCTTTAAGTGTTTGGTCATTTTCTATATCACTATAACATTAAGTGAGACTAAGGTAAATATCTAAATAAGCCCAATTTTAATTTTTATGGTACCAAGCTGTTGGGTATCTAAAATGCTTTATTGCTACTAGTATAAAAAAGATGACAGACTTTTTTAATAGTAAAGATTCAATCCCCAAAAAAGATTTAAAAAATTCAATCCTCATCATTCATTATTTCAGCATTTACTCATTTTTAGGAACACAGCCTGGTTGCACATAAAGACTTGTGTTGGTAAAGCATATTCCACCCATTTATTGAAGTTTGGGCTGACCTTTTAGAAAAAGAATAGCTTTTATTAGCTGCTTTGAATTGTGGTTTCAAAGGCTTTGGTCATATTCTCTTCAAGTGTCTGCTTTCCTTGGCTACTTCAGCTCATGTTCTTTGCACTTTATTGACTGAAAAAAGATGATTGAGGAAAAATTGCTCTAGGTATAACTCTCACAAAATGTTCTTGTTTCCTTACCCAGAAATAACATCCTTACTTTATACTAATAATTCAAGCCCAAGAAAAAGATGAACCCGCAAATGACATGTATTTCCTTAACCATTCTTTTATAAACTTTACCTCCCTGAAGAAGAGGTGTTGTGGCTAGTCTGGTCACCATTTCATAGATGTTTGAGGTGACAGGGGTGGTAAGTGGCACTGGCAGGACTGGAACCCAGGACTCTAAACTCCTGGATCAGAACTCATCCAGAGGCACTATTTATTATTTTCAGCTACACAAAGGAGAATGATTCAAGCCCACCCAACAACTGTTAAGTTTTAAATCTTCACATTCCCTCCCAGTCCTCAAGATATTCAGTCAAGGAGAGCATTCTGATTGATTGAAAACATCTGCCATAGCATTAGACTAATTTTGTTAAATTAAAATTCTTTAGATGTTGAGAACATAATTATGTAGAAGATACACAACCACCTTGAAGCTCAAGGCCCCGAACAGCCAGCCCTTCATTTGGAACATTCAGTTTCACAAATTCATTTCAGTTCTACAAATGGGAATACCTACTATTTGTTCAATAATGGTGGGCAATACAAGAATGAATGTGATTTGGTATCCGTCTTTCTGTAACTCCAAGAGCACTGTTGAGGGGAGCCATGTATGTATATTACAGTACTTCAAGGGACGATGGTGGCCATTGCCACATTAAATACACAAACAAGATATTATAAAAAGTTTGGCCTATAACTGAATCTTCTCCACAGTTAGGATATGTACCCAGTTGGCAGTCTTTGGTTTATTGAGTCTTTCGTTTTTCCCCCCGCAAAGTGTTAATTCCCAGGCCTACTAAAGTCACTTCTGATTCAATCTAAGATTTTAGACCCTCTTTTTTTCTGAGCTCTTAAACTCCTGCTCTGGTAACAGAATAAAAGTAATTTAAAGACACAGGTAGATACATTTTCACAGTGATATATTGGTGTGATAATTCCATATTTGAAATCATGTTGAGTAGCAAAATTTTTATGCTTGGAAACCCAGTCTGACTTGTCTGCTTTGATCATGTTGAGTAGCAAAATTTTTATGCTTGGAAACCCAGTCTAACTTGTCTTGAATTTCATCTTAGATTAATCATCACTAAGCTCAAAGTTGTTGAAGGCTAAGTGTCCCAAGGGACATTTTCTTCAAGAGTGTTAGGACGGCTTGCTCCTCCCCATTCTCTGCATCTGTAACTTCACCCACATGGGCCTCATCACCTAGGACCTTAGCCTCTTAATTAATAATGGCTGCCAATTATGGAGAATGCTTGCTATGTGACAGGCTGTATGCTCAACACTTATTCATTGTCATACAGAATCCGGTCGATACTATCATTATCTCCATTTTACAAGTAAGAACACTGAAATTCTGAGAGATTAAGTAACTAGCCAGGCAGAGACACAGTTAATAAGGGAACAGCTCAAATTCAAGTCCAGGACTCCTAACTCTAGAGCTTGACCTTGAATCTTTATCCCTCCTCCTATGCTCTAGAATCTATGATGGCCCTCCATGACCTCCTCTTAAAAAACAGCCTCCTCTGCCAAGAATCTAAGACCCGTAATGATCTGGACACACATAGACCATTTCAACCTCATTTCCTAATCCTGGTCAGCTTGCACAGCCTCTGTAGCCAGCCACGCTAGCAGCACTGTAATTCAGAGGCGATAATGCAGAAGAATAAGGAACATGTGTGCCAAACGTAGTACTGAATCAGGTTCCCTCATTCTTCCCTCCTTGGCTCTCTATTACTTTGCTCAAGCAGTGCCCTCTCTTGTCTCTCTTAAGATACTTCTGTAAATCAACTCGAGCTTTCCTTCATTTAAAGCCTCTCCTAATCACTGGCCATACTCTCCTCTTTCTTACCAGTGCTCACCCTGTATGTATGTGGTCAGCCCAGAGAAGTTCACCGCTACTACTATTACTATATATTAACAGTTAATGTTTATGTGACGTTTAGTGTGTACGAAATACTGCTCTAAGTTATTAACATATACTCACACAGTAGTCCAGTGTACATTAGTTAACTGTCCCCAAATAGATGGCAAACTCCAATCACGTTTTTTCCTTATTGAATTTCTCAAAGGACTCAGCAAATAATCACTTTCAATAACTATCTGTTGGTGAGCTGTGGAGGCTGGGATCCCATCCCCCGCTGATTAAGGTATATAATATGCTTACAGCTGACTTTCAGTTTGACGACCTCAGGGGAAGTTATACTCTCAAATCAAATTATCTGTCAGTAGCAGTAGAATTTTTTTTTTTATTGTATCACAAGAATCTTTGATGTTCACTTTAAAGTTTACTCATGGTGGTGTAAGTAGCAGTAGAATTTTTAGGTACATTTACTTGCACAAGAACTGTGACTTATTTATTCATCTTTGTGCTGGAAGTGAGACTGCCCATTTACTCACCACCAAAATACATATTCAATTTAAAAATAACAGCCCCCCCCTTTTTTTTTAACCAAGAATTGGTAGTTCTAGCTGCATATTTCCTTTCGAGATCCTAGTTTTTCCCTACTTTATCTTTTTCATTCTTAATTTTGTGTTCACGTTGCATAGATATTTCTAACATAGCCTAACTTTCTTGACACACATTTTGTTAGATACACTTTTATTTCTTAAAGTCTCTGGCGGATCTCATTTAGTAATGGCCTCGTTACTTTTAATGAATTTCAAAAAGTATCTAAAACTAATACTGATAATACTTCTGGGCAGTTGATTCATATTTCAAATAATGAATTATATCACATGCCACATACACTTGTAATGCAGTTTGAATTTTAAAAATTTAATAATTTGGGATGTAAGAATTCTAGAAATTTGTTCAATTTCATATGTGTGGAGAAAGAGAGGGTGGATGTATGCAATATAAGCAGTTTACCTTAAAAGGAAGTTCTCTGGGATTATCAAGAAGTAATAATGATTTGGGGCACATATTTTGACTTTAAAGAGTGAATTCAAGCAAAAATAAATTACCTTAGTCTTGTGCATATTGTGGGTACTTGACAAACAGAATAAGAGTTGCAGTTGGGGACTGATCTTGCATTGGAAGCAAGAGGAGCAAAGATGAATAATTATTGAGTATAGCTCGACTTCTTAGTGCTTGCTGAAGTCCAAATATTGAAAGTGACTATTTAGCAAGAAAAATCTCTGTAAATTATCTATATATTATATATCTTTCCATATGTGTGTTTGTATATTATTTTTCTTCTTTAATTCTAATTTCCAGCTCACCAACTCTGACAGATTACCCAGCATACTTTTTTTTTTTTTGGCGATACGCGGGCCTCTCACTGTTGTGGCCTCTCCCGTTGAGGAGCACAGGCTCCGGACACGCAGGCTCAGCGGCCATGGCTCACGGGCCCAGGTGCTCCACGGCATGTGGGATCTTCCCGGATCCGGGCATGAACCCGTGTTCCCTGCATCGGCAGGCGGAGTCTCAACCACTGCGCCACCAGGGAAGCCCCCAACCAGCATACTTTTTAATATAAACTTTGGGATAAGGAGAAAAAATTACAGCATTAGAAAATATTAAAATTATATTAAGGTAAAACAATCGAGGAGTTTGAAAAGATGGAGAAAAATAGTGTTC